CTCCCCCGGACGAACCCTCCCCCTCCCTCGGGAATTTGGGCGGCGGCGGAGGACCGAAGCCTATCCGCCGGGACGTGTACGGAAACGGGAGGATAATAGACATAACGCACAGAATGACGGCGGAGATGCCGCTGTTCGGGACAGGAGGCGCGGGAGTGGGGCAGTTCCTGTGGCAGAGGAAGAGCATCAAGAGGGGAAACAACACCAACAGCTCCTTCCTGAAGATGTGGGTCCACACTGGGACCCACGTCGACGCGCCCGGTCACTTCGTCGACGCCCTCGACCTGGACCTCCTCAATGGTGAGTGGCTCCTCCTCCTCCTCTTTCGTCTCAGCTCCATCCTCTTCCGTTCATAGAATCGATATATACACATACACATATGTATACACATGCATGTATGCACTGGTCAGGGCCTGCATTGTTAGTAGACGTGCCGAGGGACAAGAACAAGATCACTGCTCAAGTTATGGAATATTCCCCGAGGCATAAAGCGCGCTCTCTTCAGAACCTCTAATACCGACAGGTAAACAATAATATTAACATGTCACAAAAAAAACAATATTAAAAACAACTTTCAATGCATTATAATTATAATTATATATCTGTCATTTTTATAAAATTTTCAAATAAATATCTAAACTATAAAATTTTCAGATAAATATCTCAATTTTTCAAAACTTTCGTAGAAATACCTAGATTTTTAAAAAATTGTCAAATAAAACCAAAATACATTAAAGTCGTTCAACTTATAATGGAATCCGACAAAATTTGATGACTCAGTCCATTCAACTAAGGTTATTTTATTTGAAATTTTTTTAAAAAATTTGGGTATTTGTATAGAAGTTTTGAAAATTTTAAGTATTTATTTGAGAGTTTTATAGTTTAGATATCTATTTATAAATTTTATAAAAATTTAGGTATCTATATGAGATTATCTTTATAGTTATTATCGATTAGGTCTTTTAAGGTTCTTAAATATTTTATTTATTGAAAATATTAAATATGCATGTGTGTGTTTTTGTTTCCGTACGAGTTAGACGGCTTATGTACACAAAAGAGGAAGACAAGAGTTTCGTGGCGTTTTCAACTGATGGGGCGAAATGGTTAGTGGAGAATACGGACATCAAACTTGTCGGTGAGACCACCACTTAATTTTAACTATTTTTTTTATATTCGTCGGATTAATTTTGATACCTCAGGTTTATATTATACGACATTATCCTGTAGTTTGATTTTTTTTTCAATACCTAAAATTATATTAACGTAAATTTCTATATCTTTTTTGTCAATCTAAAAATATCAAATAGATTAATAATAATATCAACTATATATTGCAGGAATAGATTACGTCTCGATAGCTGCTTACGATGATCTGGACCCCGCACACATTGAGTTTCTCAAACATACGGTACGCATAATATTAATTGTTTTTCGACGTGAAGTTGTGCTAATTTCGATATTGGACCGTCGATATGATTATTATTATTTTTTTATAATGTTTTTAGGATATGATTCCAATAGAAGGGTTAAGACTGGACGACGTGGCTGCGGGATTGTACCATCTCAACTGTTTGCCAATGAGGCTGTTTGGTGCCGATGGGGCTCCCACCAGATGCATTCTTGTCCCTTAGGACATTTAATGTTTCTAATTATAATAAAATTGGACCGTCTCATCCCGCTACATTACTATGTCCAAGTTACTATAATATATATATATATATATAAATTAAAAACAATGTTTTTTGTCCCAATAGATGCTAATGGAACCTAAGATTAACTATTCGATTATCGACAAGACAACATAATATCACTTTGAGATTATCGTACTCTTCAAGATCGACGAAATATTGGACAGTACATCTTTTCGGTTTTACGTAATAATCAACAAACCACGTGAAACATGAAACGTGTAAATTAGTCGAAACTGATCGGTTCTAAAAAAAGTTCAAATATTAGAAAGAATCGAATTCACAACTTCGTGTAAAGGGGTTTGTCATTTTTCAACGCCGTTTTTCTTCTTATTCTTTTCTTACTTTTAATATTTACTGGTTTACTCTTTCAATAATAAACTACAAGATTAATTAGTGAAATTTATGCATAGCTTAGATAACATAAAATGGACCGTTGGAATCTTACGGTTTGTCAATAAAACAATACATAGCCAGAAGTGAATTATGTACTGACACGATATACGCGGTGGGCGATGAATTCGTCGTTGAGGACAGTGGAATTGACCTCGATCTCGACCAGGTCGATGGCAATGGTGGGAACCTCAGCGATCATAACCCGCCGGAGCGCGTTCGCCATTGAGACGTACGTCGGTCTCCCGAAGCTCGAACTTCACGAAGTCATCGCTCAGCTCCCGGTTCTTCACCTTCGGGAACCTCTGGTACGAGACACCGTCCATTTCGAAAAAAGCTCATTTCTTTCTTCTTCTTCATCCTCTCCTAGCTTCTGATTCTCCGGTCTGTGAGTTGCTAGGGTTTCAGCTATGGAAGCTCTCGAGGGGCTTCTGACTGACGAAGACGAGAAAGGCTACACAAGGAGGGGGGGGG